AAGCATACCAGACTGTGTAATCCAAGGATTACAATTATTAAGATTCAAACCTGCAGGAGGGAATAATACCAAACATCTAGTTTGTGGAACGCTGTGGATGATAGTGGTAGCCCCAAATCCACTTACAGGATCCCACGTGGAATGAGTACCAGGTAAATCCCCAATGCACACAGGCTAAGAACGCTAGCAGTCCTAATATCGGACAAAAAGAATTTTAAAGTAGATTTCAGCATCTGTATTTAGGCTGGAATGTGACACCATGGAATCTGAATTTCCTCTGTACCCAATGTGAATTTATTCTAAAATTTTAGTGTTCCCTGCTTTCTTTTAGACTGAGGTCTTTACCTCTTTTATTTGATCCTTGTTGCTGGGTCCTTCTTGGTTGTTTGCCCTTGTTTTGTATGTTGATCTGCATAGGGAAGTCAGGATTGCTGGATTGAAGATTGCCTGAGGCACACAGGGGGAAGCGGGGAGTCAACATCAGTGGATACCAGAAGGAAGAGAAGCTTCCAAAGGGAATCATGGCGATGGGTGCACAACCTTTCCTGATGTGACTGAACTGCCGAATTGTAGGACATTTTAACTATAGCTTAATATAGTGTGTATATATATATATATAAAATGTGAAAAACAAATTGTCCGGGAACATTGGGACCAAAGACAAGCTCCTCCCACACTCTGGAAAACCCAGAGACTTCCCTCTTTGCGCTGATAGAACCTCAGATGGGGATTTATTGATGCCTTTACTAGTCATTACTCCTTCATAAGAGCTTACATGGTTTTATTTATTCATGATACTGCTAGGGAAAGAAAGCTAGTGGGCAAGCAATTTGAGAAACATGTGAGTAAACATAAAAGATTCAAGAATCAAGTTTCCACCCTCAAAGGGAGTAGATTTTACTTTTATGGAAAAGTGGACACATTCCTATGCGATGCTTGTAGTATTCAAAACAGTGAATGCTTCTGCACTGGGACTAGGGCGTCTTTGAAGTTTTGACTTAAAAAAAAAGGAACCTCTGTCCTGGTGCACAACCCAACCCCAATCCAACCCCCTGCCATCAAGTTGTTTCCGACTCACAGTACCCCTCCCTATGTGGGGGCTCTTTCTTTATTTTAATAGGTCATTTCATTGGGGGCTCTTACAGCTCTTGTAACAATCCATACATCTATTGTATCAAGCTCATTTGTACACAGGTTGCCATCATCATTTCCAAAACATGTTCTTTCTACTTGAGCCCTGGGTATCAACTCCTTTTTTCCCCTCCCTCCCATCCTCATGAACCCTTGATAATTTATAAATTATTTTTATTTTCATATTTTACACCTTGCTCTGTCTCCTTTCACCCGCATTTCTGTTTTTCGTACCCCTGGGGTAGGGGTGTACATTAATCATTGCGATCAGCTCCCCCTTCCTCCCCCTCCTGCCCCCACCTGCTCTGGGGGTTCTTTATGTGAGCAGTCAGACACCGCTTTCTCCTGAAGAGCAGCTGACGGATTGCACGGCTGACCTGGAGGTGAACAGCCCAGTGCTCACTCACAACATACAGGTAGAAAAAGAAATCCTAAATGATACGTTTTCAGAAAGTGAACACACCTGTGTAATCAGCACCCGGCGTTTTAAAAATGTACTTGGTGCCCTGAAATCACCCTTGGAACCCTGTGTAACCCGTTACGGTGGAAACAGCCAGTTTTGATTTGGGGAATATTTTATATACTGGGGTCCAGATTGGGTAGAAGCCATCATATTCTTTTCAGATGTAGAGGTGTTCAAGTCCACGCATCTAAGACTCCAACTAGGCGGACGGTGCTCTGAGTCTAATGCTGATGACAACAGTGAGGATGCTCTCTCTCTCTTTCTCTAATTTTACTGGGGGCTTGTACAACTCTTATCACAATCTATACATCCATCCATTGTGTCAAGCACATTTGTATATTTGTTGCCATCATCATTCTCAAAACATTTGCTTTCCACTTGAGCCCTTGGTGTCAGCTCCTCATTTTCCCCCTCCCTCCCTGATCCCCTCTCCCTCACGAACCCTTGGTTATTTATAAATTATGATTATTTTGTCATATCTTACAGTGTCTGACGTCTCCCATCACCCACTTTTCCATTGCTCATCCCCCAAGGAGAAGGTTATATGTAGGTCCTTGTGATCAGTTATTTAGTACTTAACATATAAATATATGTATATTGGACAATCTTATTTTTCCACAGCCTGATCACACAGCTGGCAAAGGCTCCACATTCTTATGGCTGAAAGATCACCAAGTCATTGGGCAGAGAGGCATTTGCTTGCCCTGAAAACTCTTAGGCCTCATAAGAGTGTGTCGCTGAATCAGCAGACAAGAAAAAGCTTGATTGGGGGATGGAAGGGGGTGCCACCCACAGTACTTGAGTGGACCTCAATTTGGTTTCTGGACATTGACAGGTCTGCAGGAAGCACTTTGCATTCACTTTACTAATGCTTGTGGGTCACATCCAGCCAGTGAGCGTCATGTAAATACAACTGGTGAAATCTCAGTAGGGAGGGTAGGTGGCATTGTTGCTGCCTTCCTGGCTGAGGTAGTGTACATTTAAAGTGGACCTGTTAGGGAAAATTAGGTGAGGACTGTGTGGGAATCTCTATGGTTTTTTTTCCTTTAAATTGCCTGTGACTCTATAATTATTTCCATCTTTAAACGTTTTTAAATATACCCTTAGTCTGAGCCAGTCTCAAGACATGAGTTCTTCCCTTTTAAAAGTTACAGCTTTTTAATAGTTACAGCTTTTCAAAGTCTACTCTTAAGATGTTGCACTAAATGGTTTGAGAGTATTCATTGTATATAAAGATGATTGTACAAAGCCTCCTTGTCTCCAAGGATATATAATCAATCAACAGCTATAAGGTACCTGATATGTAAATATATAAATTTATAATGAAAGGGATAGAAGCCAATATACATATATTTATATATTAAGTACTAAGAGAGCAGATGGACTTTGGGCCTCTACTCAAGGCCTCCCTAAACACAAAAATACTTTGTTCTAATAACCTGGCACTCTTTGATATTCACCTTCCCAACACAATCACTGAAGACAAAATGGGTGCATAAGAAAATGTGGTGAAGAAAGCAGATGGTGCCTGGCTATCAAAAGATCTAGCATCTAGGGTCTTAAAGGCTTTAAGTTAAACAAGCAGCCATTTAGCAGGGAAACAAATAAGCCCACATGAAAGAAGCACAACGACCTGTGTGATTATGAGGTGTCGATGGGAGCATGTATCAGGTATCAAAAGATCCCAAACAAACAATTATATCAATGTGAAAGAGGGGGGTTGGAGTGGAAACCCAAAGTCCATCTGTAGATCATTGGACATCCCCCCACAGAAGGGTTACAAGAAAGGGACGATTCAGCCAGGGTGCAGTATAGCACTGACGAAATGAAACATACGTCATTCCTCTAGTTCCTGAATGCTTCCTCCCCACCACTACCATGACCCAGTTCTACCTTATGAATCTGGCTAGACCAGCAGAGTACACACATTGGTACAGATAAGGGCTCTTGACACATGGAATTCAGGATAGATAAACCCCTCAGAAACAGTAGTGGGAGTAGTGATACCATGAGGGCCCAGGTAGAAAGAAAATGTTTTGGAAATGCTGATGGCAACCTATGTACAAGTGTGCTTAATACAATTGAATGATGGATTGTTACAAGATTTGTAAGAGCCCCCAATAAAGGGATTTTTTTAAGTTCATGGCAAAAATAGAAAACATACAAAAAAACAGTTTTAAGATACCTAAATATCAAACCCACTTACAATAACTTAATTCTGACTCATAGGGACCCTATAGGACAAGGTAGAACTGCCCCTTTAGGTTTATGAGGCTGTAAATTTTTCTGGAAGCAGAAAGCCTCATCTTATTTTCCTAAGTAAGCCCGTGATGGGTTCCAGCTGCTAACCTTGAACTTAGTCCAGTGCTATATCATTTGGTCTTTCCTCACAGTGCCTCTAAACCAAAACAATCAAACAATTAAGCCAATTCACTGTAAATCCTTATGGGAACAGATAGCTTCATTCTTCTCCCATGCCTTGACTGGTGGGTTTGAACCACTGACCTTTTGGCTAGCAGTCCAACACTTACCCAACAGTGGTGTTACCCAACCAGGACTCTGGGGAGATGAGTGAATTCATATTTCTACTACCCAGGGAGTCTGCAATAAAATTAGCAAATAGCAGACGTTCAGGGATTGGATTAGGTAAAAGGAATACTGCCTTCATGGCTGCTGTACTAGTGTTCTAGATCTGCTATAAGAAATTATCACAAAAATGTGCTTGACACAATGGATGAATGTACGGATTGTGATAAGAGATGTAAGAGCCCCCAGTAAAAATATTTAATTAAAGAAATTATCACAACACGGTGACTTGAAGCAACAGAAATTTATTTCTGACAGTTCTGGAGACTAGAAGTTAGAAATCAAGGTGTGGGTAGGGTCATCCTTCCTCTGAAATTTCTGAGAAAATATGTCTTTACTGCTTCCTACTTTCTGGGGATGACTGGCTATCTGTGGCATCCCTTGGCTTGTAGCTCCATCACTCCAGTTTCTGCCTCTATTGTCACACGACCTTCTTCCATGTGAGTGTCTTTGCCCTCTCTTCTTCTTCTAAGGACCCACCTTAATCTAGCATGACCACATTTAAACATCTGCAAAGACCTTGTCTCTGAGATCACATACCGAGGTTCCAGGCGGACATGAACTTTGGGGAAGACACTATTCAACCTACTAATAGCTGTCAAGGGCCGGAATGGCTTCACACAGTTGGAAGATAGACATTTTGTGCTGATATATTTAAAGAGGCTGAGTTTACATTTCTGTGTATCTGTGAGTTTACATGTACTCCTGCCTGAAAATTAACGCAATGATTCCTTAAATTGTAATGCCACTATGAAGCTCTGTAGACTCAACCTAGGGGGAGGGAAGCAGAAGCCAGGAGGAAAGGGTTTCACGTGAGGGCATGCCCAGCCTGTCCAACAGTTTGTCTTGCGTTGATTTTTGTTTTAAATCACCTTCTGTCCGCTTCCTCCTCTCCTTAGCCATCATCGTGTACAGACTGCCGTGGACCTGGAAATGCAGCAAGCTCCTGATGAAATCCATTCACGCCGGCTTAAACGCCGTGGCTGCCATCCTGGCCATTATCGCCCTGGTGGCCGTCTTTGATTTCCACAATGCCATGAACATCCCCAATATGTACAGTCTGCATAGCTGGATTGGATTGGCAGCTGTCGTACTTTACATCTTACAGGTGGGTGAGTCCCTATATTCAGAAGGTAGAAGAAGTCAGACGACTCAGACACTGTAGGTGTTCTGAAAACATTCACGTTCCTAGGGCCATCCCATGCCCTCCCACCTTTGTTTCCATTTGAAGTATTTTTCCCCGAAGGAACCCTGCAAGCACAGAGCTAGCCCACAGACCATGAACTTATGTCGAGACTGACATTTTCACTGGCATCTGTAGGGAACTCCCATCTAGATGGACATTTCCTGGGCTGCAAGTTTTGTATCAGAATAAACTGGCAGCAGCAAGTGCTGTGGGTTTCTTTCCCCGATTTTCTGCCCATTCGATGTTCTGGGTTACATTTTATGAGTGAGGAGATGAATGTCTATTTCTGTGTTGGGTTTGAAAGGCGCTGTGACAAGGTGTAGCATTCCATGTGATTTTACACAGCAGATTTGGTTCTGGTTTTAACAGCTTCTACACAAATCATTCAGTGACATTGATTATGTTTTCCCAAATGTGTCAGTATTCTTATTCATTCCATTCTGGTTGTTTCTTTTCTAGTAATCTAGTTTCCCTACCCCCTTCCTTTCACGCCTTTGCTTTAGGGTAATTGTTACCCTTTTGGTCTCAGAGATTATTCTTTAAAGGAGCAACAGCACCCACGGGTCCTATTGTTTCTTTTTATGAACATTTCTATCCATTGGTTAAAATGCAAGGGTTAGTTTTGGGTAAAGGTTTTAAAGAGTCTCTGGGTGGTTATGCCAGGCAATCCTCTTTCTTAATAGGTCCAGTAAGTCTGCCCTTTTAAGAAGTTCAGTTCTGGCCCACCTTCGCCTCTCATTCTGTCAGGACCTCGCTCTGTGGCCGTGTTCAGTTGGTAGGGAGGGTGACTGAGCATCAGCTGGTTCTAGTTGCAGAATGAAGGAGTCGTGGAGCACACAGATCATTTTCTGTCGACTAGCTCCTTCTTAGCAGTTGGAAATCACCAGTCTCTCTGCAGGAGAAAGAGGGGGCTTTCTACTCCCGTAAAGAGTGACCGTCTGGGAAACCCACGGAGGCAGTTCGACCCTGCCCTGTAAGACTGCTCTCCATTGGAACTGACTGGATGGCAGTGAGAGAAGGTCAAGAAACTAGAGTGAATCCATTGTAAGACATCTTCAAATCGATGACCCATTGTATTAGTCAGGGTTCTCCAGAGAAACAGGACCAGGAAGATGGAAAGATGGAGACGGAGAGGTTGATTTTTAGAAACTGGGCAATGAGATGATGGGGCCTGACAAGTCCAAAAGCCATACATCACCAGGCAACAGGCTGGAGCCTTTGGCAATCTTGAATTCAGAATTCACAGGGCAGGCGGGACCTGGAAACTCAGCATGATAGCTCTTACTCTGTGATGCAGATTCTCAGTTTTCAGCCTTTTAAGGACTTCCTCTGATGCCTAAGGTCCACCCACATCATGGAGGATCACCTGAAGGCCATGCTTTCCTGAAGGTCAACAGCTTTAAGTGTTAATCACCTGCAGATTCCTCCCTAAATACACAAAAACTACCACCTAAACCCAAAGCCATTCCCATTGATTCCAGCCCCCCATCAAGCCGCTGAGCTCTTGGGAGCATATCGTCTGGCCTGTGGATGAGTTCAAGCCGCCAGGTTTTCGTTGGTACTTGAGCACTTGCCTTACCCTGTGCACTGTGTGAAACAGCCTTCCTAACTCGGTTCATCTTTTACTGTCACCTCATGAGGTGGCTGACTGACGGTGAAGATGCACAGAGACGACCAGCCACCTACCTAGGCCACAGCACAGGCCAAGGTCAATCCACACCCTGAACCCTCCCTATAACCACTGCTTCCACACCTCCCCCAGGACCCCTCAGCCCATGTGGGAGCATCCCTAAAAGCCAGCCATCACGAAACAAAAATATCACAACGTGAAGCAATTATTTCTCAACATATCCTCCACCAAGGTTTGTGCCAGTCTGAACGTGATATTTCCTTCTCTCCAACCTTTCCCTGCAGAATTCTGCAAACTTCCATTTTCACTATTTCTGAACTGAAGATTTTTATTTTTTTAATTAAAAGATCATTTTATTGGGGCCTCTTACAACTCTTATAACAATCCATACATCGATTATATCAAGCATATTTGTGCATATGTTGCCATCATTCTTTTCTAGACATTTACTTTCTATTGAGCCCTTGGTATCAAGTCCTCTCCCCCACCTCCCCTCATGACCCCTTGATAAATTATAAATTGTTATTTTCATATCTTACACAGACTGCTGTCTCCCTTCCTCCACCATTTCTGCTGTTCATCCCCCTGGAGGGGAGGAGGGTGTAGCTATGTGTCAATCATTGCCATCTGTTCCCTCATCCTCCCCTCCTCTTCCCACCTTTCCCCTGCCCTTCTGGTATCGCTACTTCCATTCCTGTTCCTGGATTCTGTGGGTTGTGAACTCTTACCTCTTATCTGTACCTAAACTGCAGTTTTGGCAACCTCTGGGGATCATCTCTGAGTTTTTGGAAACAAAAACTGAGGGGGCAAGATCAGGATAGATGGGATAAAGTTTCCCAATAGCATTTTTTGCAGAACAGCCCTCCACACTCTTGAAGAATGAGTAGGTGCATCGTTGTGATACAAAGCAATCCCTGGGTGAATCTTTCCCTCACCAGTAACCAGTGAAAACTCACTCCCAGCTAGCAACACTATCGGACAGAGTGGAAATGTGCCTTTGGTTCCCAAGACTGTAACTTTATGGACAGACAGCCTCCTCTTTCTCCCAAGGAGTGCCCGGTGAGGGGTAGCAGCTCACCGCGTAGCCTCCTGGGCCACACGGCTCCTTTCCTCTCCAATGTGGGCTTCCATTTTCTTAGAGTTTTGATACTAAGCGCCCCCTTCCCGATTGTCCTGTGTCCTTTGAAAAAAAATATCGATTAGACCTTTGGAATTTATATATATATATATGGATCTCCATCACCGTCTGCACGGAGCCTTCTGCGGTGACTGGAACTAGCCAGCAGATTCCCCTTGGAAGCCGCGGTTTTAATTGGACCATTTTAAAAATGAGGGCACCGATGGCAGAGACCTGATTAAACACCTTTTGTTTGACATACACCTGTGCCTGGATCAACTGGAACTACTGTAGCAGTAGTTTTCTACTTTAGCCAAGAGAGAGAGAGAGAGAATGTGTGTGTGTGTGTGTGTGTGTGTGTGTGTGTGTGATTCTGTGTATTTCCAATTCTCTTCGAGGAAATGTGACTACATTTCAGGTTTATTCTTTTGTGGTACAAGAGCTCTTTAAAGTTATGTATGTTGCTTCTCCCTGTAAGCGACAGAACAGGTCCCCCAGGCCCCCGAGGGCAGAACCAAGGAGTTCTCTCCTTCCTCACGGGGAGAAACCAGCCCTAGGGTCCCTTCTCCCGTCCGGATGGGAGCTGAGCTGTTCCTCCATGATGTTGACAAAAATGCCTGCCGCCGTCTTCCCAGTTGCAAACATACATGAGTGAAAAAACCCCAAACAAAAGAAACGCGTCGACAGAGATTCTTTCTGTCCGATTTGGAGGTTAGAAGTAAAGAAGGGACGCCGGTCCGCGCTGAGGGAAGATGCAGCTTTCTCCGGGCAGGGCTAGGGGCTGCCGCTTGCGGGTGGAGGCCAGGAAGTGGCCACTTGAGACACACCGGCTGCAGACCACCCTGCTGCCCACTCACAGCACCCCCGGGGGTCCTCCCTGCTGGAAGTGCCGCGCACCTTTGTCGGGAAGGATGGTTGCCTGCCCGTGTGCGCTCCCGGCCCAGCTCCAGAAGCGAACCCAGTTCAGCGAGGCCGGCACGGGCAGGATCGCGCTTAGCCTCTGTGTGGACAGTCGGGGTGTGCCCTCCAATGAAGCCAGTGTCCAGTCGTCGGAATGAGAAAGAGACGGAGAGAAGAAAGGTGCCGTGGCTCCAGGGTCAGCTTGGTGAAGCTGTGCTTCTCTGGGGTTTGACGGTTACGTGATGATGTAATCACCCCCCCACCATGTCTGTGTATTGTGAAGGCTTTCTTTCCAAAAAAAATTGATCTTGTACGATATATTCACGCTGTATCCTATTGAGCCTTTTTTTTTTTTTTTTTGGTCATTCTACTGATTCAACTATTTGGTTTCCTTTTCCTTAAAAATTCTGTTTTTTTTATTGTATTCCAATGTGTGGCTATACCACAACCTTATTGATGTAGTCTCTATTTGGATGATTTTTAATGGTCTTCTGTTACAACCACTGTTTCGTGGGACAATCACATACTTGTCTCTTGGTACTCATGCATTGAAAACAGTGGTTCTCAACCTCCCTAAGGCCGCAACCCTTTCATACAGGTCCTCATGTTGTGGTGACCCCCAACCAGAAAATTATTTTCGTTGCTACTTCATCAATGTCATTTTGCTACTGTTATGAATCGGGTGAACGGTGGAAGGGTCGTTTGATCCCCAAAAGGGTTGCTACCCACAGGTTGAGAACTGCTGCTTTAAAGGTTCCTCTAAGCCAGGAGCAGGAATTACCCGGCCCACAGGCCCAAGAAATCATGACCCCCAGCTGACATCCCCGCCTCACCAAGTCGAAGCACTTCCAGCCCTCACATTAGGGGTGAATTTATTAAATGTGTAACCAAAAATAGCTGACTAATTTTAAGTGGATCATATTAGATGGACTTTGAATGATGTTATAAATATCCAAATGACCCTTGACAGGGAAAAGTCTCCTCACTCCTGCTCCAAGCATATTGTCAGGCGTGGAATTGGCACCCGCACAAGACATTGATGCCAATGGTCTGCCCCTGTACTACATAGGTGTCCCTGTATGTTTCATCTTTGCCAGTGCACATCCTCACAGACAGGGGGCTGGGGGGGCGGGGGCGGGGGCGTGTTCAGGAACTGAGGCTTTCATTTGGGGACAGTGGGAAGCCCCTAGAAGATGCAAAGCAAATGACATACATGATAGGATTTTTCACTCTGACGGTAGTATTCTGGCTCCAGTGTGGGAGATGGGTTCGAGGCTGGACAGCAGTCCTAGGAATGGACGAATACAGAGAGATTCACTGGAAAGTGTTTACGGAAGCTCATTGGGAGCATCTCTAACCAAAATAAGCATCCCTCAATAACTTCTACTTTCCTTTTAAAGTCAATTTTCTTATGGTAGGAAAAAAATTAAGAGTGAAAGTAAGATTTAGGGAAGCTGACTAGCTGAGGACCTGTAAGCATATATCTGATGTTCTACCTGCTCAGATGTTTGAGCCTCACAGGATTACAGGAAACACACATGATAAATCCTGAAGGAAATGAAGTAAGAAACTTAGGGATGAAGAAGCAGAGAAAGCAGGAATGTGGGAATTGTGTATTTCTCTGGATAAGTCTGAAGAAAGGTGTGACTTATTCACAGAAATATCATTGTGCTGAATTCCTGATAGTAACTTACTGCAGTCACACTTTGATGTAGAAAGTACAACATATACATTAGCAAACAGTCCTCTTCATGCACACATACTCACTCCTGGAAAGAGAATTAGGACCATTCTGAACCCTTTCTTGCATTTTCAAACATTTGTGGCATTAAGCACAAAATAAAATGTGCAAAGGTTCTATCGTGTATTTTCTATTTCTCTCTGTTTCAATTTCATTACTGTTACCAACAAACTGACAATCTGCTGCAAAGATGTCTTGGAGGTGTTGAAGGACAAGGGCATGATCCTCGAGAGTAAGGTGCACTTGACCCAAATCCTATTTTCAATTGCTTCATATGCATTTGGACTCTTGACATTAAATAAGGAAAATGGAAGAAGAGAGGCAAGTAGTTTGTGGTCAAGCTCCCAACCCAAAGATCATTGGCTCAAATCCATCCAGCACTGTGCCGAAGAAAGGCCACTGAACTGCTTCTGTAAAGATTCATTCATTCACTCCCTCACTCACTCCCACTGAGTTGATTCCAACTCATCGTAGTTACTCTATAGGACAGGGAAGAACTGATGCAAAATATATTAAGAGAAAACAGCAAGATGCAGAAGGATATGTAGAGTAAGATCCCATTTATTGTAGGTAGATAGATTTACTGAAGTATTTGAAGTATGTTGTTGGTGAAGAAAATTGGAAGTCCTGTGGATGGCCATCAGAACGAACAAATCTGCCTTGGAAGAAGTACCCAGAATTCTCCTTAGACACAAGCATGTTCTCAGGAGAGCCCAGTCCCTGGAAAAGAACATCATGCTGGGTAGAGAGTCAGCAAAAAAAGGAGAAAGACCTCGTCGAGATGGATTGGCACCGTGGCTACCACAGTGGGCTCAAATGGAATTACGATTGTGAGGACATGTGAGGGCCGGGCATTGTCTCCTTCTTTTGTACAAAAGGGCCACTATCATCTCTCTTCTGTCCTATAAGGTCACCATGAGTCCAGAATCAACTCAACAGCAATGGGTTAGGTCTGGCGCTTCCCAAAGATCCTGGAGACCCTAAGACTCCAAACGCGGGGTACTGGAGGAGTGGGCACAGCTGCCACAGGCAGCATCTTTGACATCTCTAACTTGGATCGACTGGCTAGTGCAACTGGTCATTGATGGAGTAAACTATTTGATTGACTGTGAGAGACGTCTGGAAAGAGGCCAGGATAGCCGCGTCCCTCTACCTCTCGTGCACAGCAACCTTGCTAACAGATCACTCAAGATCCCTGGGACTTCTGCACATTATAATGGTGGCCAATCCTATTTGTCCCAGACTTGCTTCTATCCTAGTAAAGACTCCTTACTACCAAAAAAAAAAAAAAAAGGTTTGGTTTGGGTTTGGGCTGTGCTTATATCAGATAAAAATTTTCTAGAAGGATACAAGAGACAGTAATGTGTTATCTTTGTATACTGGAACTAAGGGTGAGGGAAACTTATTATTTGTGTTATACCCTAGGTTCTTGAAAGGTCTTCTCATTTTGTGCAGAGTGCTTTTACAAGAATAATTTTGAAATTAAGTTAGAGTTTATAACTAAATGGTAACCTTTTGCCCTTTTTCTGTGTTTAGCTTCTTCTTGGTTTTCTTGTGTTCCTGCTTCCGTTTGCCCCACTTTCGCTGCGAGCGTTTCTTTTGCCCATCCATGTGTACTCTGGGCTGCTCATATTTGGGACAGTGATTGCAACAGCACTTACGGGAGTCACAGAAAAGCTGTTTTTTGCCCTGTAAGTTACACGCTTTTCCTATTGTCATACTTATGCTATCATCTGTTAGGGACTTTTTCTTTGCAATACAAATAAAATTTTAAATATATTAAAATCATAAATATAAACATCAATTTAAGAACTTTTTGTTATTCTGTAATACATGTTTATTGAAAACGTGAAAATCTAATAAATCCTACCTCTCTTTGAAAACAAGTATTAAAATCATTCCCTTTCAGTCTACTTGATAGGCATGTTTTTAATCTTAATTGTAATTGGAAGTATATGTTTTCATTCATTTTTCGATTCTTCAGTGATACAGGTTTTCCTGATACTATATTAAAATATTATGTGAGGCGACTCCTAAAAGTTGGTGGAACTTCTAATTCAATATTCCCTCAAACTTTTTGAAACTTTCTTACAGGAACGAATTATTATGATTACGATTTTTTAAAATAATCCCATAGCATATCGTTGATTGGACTGAAGCATAGCTTAAAATTCTCATTAGTATCAGGGATTTTACATTGCAGTGTACAGTTTGAACATTTAGATTCAACACTGTTTTGGGGTTTTTTTTTAGCACTGTTTTGAATGTTGCTCCATCACCCTATTTGTCATTGAACACATACTCTCGTTTTTCTTAGGACAAGCACAGGATACAGTTCATTCCTACCAGAAGGTATTTTCACAAATACTCTGGGCTTGCTCATCCTGGTATTCGGAGCCCTCATTTTTTGGATCGTCACCAGACCACAATGGAAGCGCCCCAAAGAACCAAATTCAGTCCTTCTTCAGCCCAACGGAGGTTCCGCAGAGGGGGTGGTCGGCGCCCTGGCAGTGAACTCGGACAACCATGGGGACAAATCGGATTTAGAGTTAAACAGTGAAGTTGCAGCAAGGAAAAGAAACTTCACCCTTGAAGATGCTGGGCAGAGGTCCACGATGTGAAATGCTGGCAGCTATAACTCTGCTTTCACCAACTAGCCTTACCCCCCACCCAACCCAACCCAACCCAACCCAACCCAACCCAACCAAACCAAACCCACTGCCATCGAGTCGATTGCCATTCTTAGCAGTCCCAGAGGAAGACTAGCACTGGCCCCTAGACGGAATCGTTAGGGAAGCAGACTGGCACAGCTGCTTCCTGCTGAACAGCTGGTAGATATGGACCCCTGACCTTTTGATTACCAGCTGAACGCTTCACCACAGCGTCTCCTAAGTAATCACATGATGACTCAGCTTACACGGTGTCAGGATTTATTTTAAATCCTAAAGTTGGATTTCTTGAAAGACTATGTGTGGACCTGGACCTCTGAATTTACCTGAGTTGGAAAGGACATGATCAATGGAAATAATCTAAATTGATCAGATCCAAGTGGTGGTTATGTTAGGCGTTGCTTGTTGCGGAACAAAGCCTTTAGCACATTGCCTTCCGCCGACTAGGTGCTCGGTGTGTGGGTCTCAGTTGGCTCACCTGGTAAGCCGGCAACGTAATAAGCTGTGAGCATTTGGTCGTGTCCTGAGAGGCCGGTGAGTCCAGAACTCAGACTCAAAACCCAGTGCCTCCAGTGGGACTGGAAAGAACACACCGTAATCCAAAATTAGAGTCAGATCTTGTCTGGACAAGGTTTACACTAGGACGCTCGCAGCGAGCATTCTCAAAATCAGGGAAATAACTCCAACTACAGCTCCCCCTTCTCCAGGTCCGTGCTCTCTCCCCAGTCCAGCTGCTCTGAACTCGGAGATAAGACCAGGCTTTAGATAAGCCTACTCTGGGGCAGTTCATAAACCCATCCTCTAACGCCAGCTCCCAAAGCTCCCTCGAGATAGATGCACGTACTTGATGACCCAGAATCCAAACCTGCCTCCCAAACTCACTGCCCTCCAGTCAGTTCCACCTCATGGCAACCCCACAAGCTAGGGTAGCACTGCCCCTGTCGATTTCCCGGGCTGTAAATCTCTACAGCAGTGGTTCTTAACCTTCCCGATGCCGCGACCCTTTCATACACTTCCTCGTGTGGCGGTGACCCCCTCCCAACATAAAATTATTTTGGTTGCTACTTCATAAGTGTCATTTTGCTATTGTTATGAATCAGGCAACCCCTGTGAAAGGGTCGTTCGACCCCCAAAGGGGTCAAGACCCACAGGTTGAGAACCGCTGCTCTACAGGCCTAGAAAGCTTCATCTTTCTCCCTTAGAGCAGCTGGTGAGTTCAAACTGCTGTCCTTAATGGTTAGCAGCCTGATGTGAGAATAATTTTGAATGCCTAACCAAACAGCTTTACAGACGTCAGAGAGCACTTTTCTATAGATTTCCATTTTTATTCTTTAAAAAAACTTACATATAACACTTGCATCTATTCTATTTAAACCACGTTTCCAATATTAACTCAGTTCATCCCCAGAGAAAGCTCTGTGAGGTGGGCACTACTATTGTCTCCACTTCAGTGTTGATGGGGGACTTGACATTTGGAAAGGGCAGCAGCTTTTCCCAGTTTCCCAGCTTATGAATGGCATAACCGGTCCTAACCACTTCACTGTGCCGGGCTTCCTTCCCTGTTGTTGATGTTACGTATCTATATAAGTTACACCTACTTAGGCTCACCTGTGAATGGACCTCAGTGGCAGTAGAGTGACAACTTTGAGAGGTGCGTCTTTACCTTCAGGCTCCCTTTCCCAAGGCCAATGCCCCAGAGAACCTCCCTGCTGGCCTGCCTTCCTGGGCTAGGGTCTTTCTTGATCGGGGTGGAATCTCAGGGGACTTTTGGAGCGTGGGTTCTCAGTAGTGAGTGGAGAACCTGAAAAATCTCTGAGGTTGGTATGGTTATTAGCCTCCCCAGTAAGTAACTCGTCATCAGCAACCAGTCCTCACCCCCTCACCACGACACTGTTTTCTTCTTATTTAATGACTTCTGTTTCTAAAATTGTTAACCAGTGTCAGAAGGACCCTCGGTGCCCACCCAGGGCCTGGCACGCAGTGGGCCCAATTAAATTCAATAGATTAGCATGTGCTACAAAGTAGAAGCCCCTGGGTGGTACAGATGGTTAATGTGCTCAGCTGCTAACTTAAAGGTTAGTTTGTGTGTTTTTTTCACCCAGAGGTGCTTAGAAGCAAGGCCTGGCAATCGACTTCAGAAATAGCAGCAGCCCTTGAAAGCCGCTGTGGTGTTCTACTCTGACACACATGGGGTCGTCATTAGTCAGAAGCAAATTCACAGCTGCTGGTAAGAGCATGCTGCAAACGAAAATCTCGGTGCTACGTGGAAGGAGTAACTGCGTCATCACACACATATATTTGGATACACTGATATTTCATTACATACAGATGCCCGACCCCCAAAATTAAAAATTGAGGCTTTTTGTCCAGGAGACAGTAATTAAACCTTGAGGATGAAGAAGGGTGCCAGTCTGTTTCCCAGAAGCCAAGAAAGTGGTTATCCGTAAAAAGTTCTTCATTGTGAACTTGGCACGAAAACAACTCCATTGCCAAGTATTTGACCCCCCCAGCCCATTTTCTCTCTCCTGTGGGCCAAGGTGAGGGTAATCTTACAGATATTATAGGAGCTTCTTTGCTTTCTCAGCCCGCATGAAAACAATGCATTGTAAAATATATCTAGAAAACCTTTTCTGAGACTTTCATTTTAATGGGTTTTGAGTCTAATGATAATTGCACCTTTATCTTTCAAAAGCTGATATTTCCTACCTAAAGCATCTCCCTCCAAAATATCTTATAAAGAGGCCCTCAAGAAGAATAGAAGGCAAGAAAGCCTGCGGTATCAATTGCCAAAATAGTGATTGAAATCTCCCCAAATAATCATAGCTTGCATCATCTGCAGAGAGGGCCTGGCTCGGCTAACCCCATAATCTAATTTCAGAAAAAGAAAGCTTTATTTTAACACTCATCTAAATCAACACGAAAGCCCCCCCACTCCCACTTTTTTTTTCCTCGACCGGTTTATTGAGAAACTCAAGTGATTATCCTCTGTGAATTAATGTCATAGAAAATGTCCCGCTTCCTGGGCCCTTTGTCGCCTGAACCCTCCCTCAGAGCACTTTGCTTCTCTGGGCTGTGTGGTTTCCTGAAAGCCAGTGCTGTTTGGAAACAGCGTCTCAGACCCCCACCAAGTGACAAAGAAGGCCATCACACTTTTTAGGAAGACTGACAAGTGGTTCAGCTTTTTGGTTTCTGAAGGACAAAATAAAAGAGCACTTCCTCGCATGGGTCATTCGGCCCTGCTGCTGAGCTGGACATTCCAGTGCAGTACTTACTGCCGGCCCATCAGCAGCCAGGTCTGAGCGTGCAAAGGAAGCAGTGCATCGTTATGCTGGGCTTATTGCAAATATAATGGAATGCTATCTTGGCCTGGGTTTAAAATTTTTTTTTTCATAAGGAGTCAACCGAAAGCCCTAACTGCTCCATTTTAGAGCTACACATAGGGAGGCACAGACTCCATATCTCTTCATTATTTCCAACGAGGTACTTGCAAACCTTAAGCGTGAAAGAAAAGATTTTTTTCCCTTTCGTAATTCCGGGCTCTGAGCAATTCCACCTAAATTTGAAGATCGGCTTTTCCATTTCTGCAAAAATAGTTGTGGCACTGTTGAGAGGGGCTGCGTTGGGGAGGATTGTCGTAGTAGCAATATTGTCTTCAACCCATGGGCACGGGGTGTCTTCCCACTCATGTAGGCCTGCTCCACTTGTCCCCTTTCTTGCAGCGATGTTTTGTTAGGTTTGGTGTCCGAGTCTGTCACCTCGTTGGCTAAGTGGACGCCTACAGATTTCATTTTTCTGGATGTGATTGTAAAAAGCAATTCCCCCCCCTAAAAACATGTCCTTTTCAGGCTTTTCCTTAAGATTTCTATCTTTAAACGTGTCTTTTTTATCTCAGCACATTTATGAAACAATATTAAATAACCTGAATGTTGTAACTCTTGTAGGAAACATGCATCTATTTTTTTCCCTGACTTGTTTTTATATAGTAATAAAAGTCAGTTGGAAGCTCTTCGTGTGTGGTGATTTTTCCGTTTGTCCAGGCTAAAAAGTATAGGCAGCTAGAATGCTTCTTAAAAGGAGGCCAAGAATTTGTCTCACAGACGCTTAAGAAGGACATCATGCTTGATGAGGAAGACCCTCAAGGAGAGGGATCGGTTCAGTGACTGCAACAGAGGGCTCAGCATCACCATTGTGAGGAAGGTGCAGGACCGGGCATTGTTCCCTTCTCTTGTGCACGGGGCTCACTCTGGTGATGTGGAGGCTCACACGGTGGGCTGGGAACTGCTAAGTCAGCACTTGGAACCCACCAGCCATTCTACGGGAGAAAGAGGAGGCTTTCTGCCCCCATGAAGAGTTACAGCCTCGGAAACGCACAGCAGGGCCACTTCTCCTCTGCCCTGGAGGGTCCTATGAGTCCGGGTTAACTCCATGGCCGTGAGTTTGCTTTGGGTCTTATGCTGACTCAGAGGCAACTAACCACCACGACATGAGTGTTGTGGCTGTGCTCATGAATTCCATGGCGGTAATTTTTTTTTAATGTCAATTTCTTGAAAATCCTATCAGATTTCTCGATAAAGCATGCTCTGAGCATCATACCTTCTATCTTGCTAAAAGTATGAGAGACATGCTTTAAAACGCTCATGCTACTACCTGCCACATGACATCCGACTCGGAGTCCCACTGCCGTGTGTAGCTCGGACCCATTCGCGTAGGCAACTAAAGCAGATGCTGGTCTGTTGGGAAATCGTCATAGAAGAGGAATTCCGGTTATTATTCAACTCTGGTGTTTTTAGTAACTTGTCTTGGATAAAGAACAAACTTCATGATGAGGGAATTATTTGGTGTGGTGGTGGTTTTCCAAATTAAAAAGGTCCTTAGCATTTAAGTAGCAGCAATCCTCAGACTACTCTTAATACAACAGTTTTAGTCCTTTTTAATCTACCCTGTCTCCTGGGAAATGTTAATGATATTTGATGTCATGTCGCTGTTATGAAACTAACCCTCTGCCTTGTTATGCACTAAGCCAGAACCAAACCCACTGTCGTGGAGTCAATCCCAACTCATATTAAAAGTAATATACAGGGTTTCTGAGGCTGTAAATCTTTACAGGAGCAGACATCTCCCATAGAGATTTACAGCCTCAGCTTTCTCCCTTGGAGCAGCTGGTGGATTTGAACCACTAGCCTTGTGGTTAGCAGACTAATGCTTACCTGACAATACCACCATAGGCCTGTAATATTGTATGTAAACGGAATTTTGATAAATCACGCTGTGTTTTGTCACAGACTCAGATTATTCATTTCAGGGGTACTGTATAAGTTAGAATTGACTCGATGACATTGGTTTGGGCTATAATTTTATTTCAGAAGAACCCTGG